TGGGGCTCACTGGGTGTCTTGCACCCATACCCTGTACGCTGGCATTACAATTAATGGGCGAGATGGTGGCTATCCCAGATCGCGTCGATGTTCTCCTACGACCGTTGCCTCAGCTTATCTCCGTAGGGTCGGCTCTAAATCGCCTCCACCAATCCATCGGGGCCGAGCGATTGGGGGATGATACGGTGTAGTCCGTGGGTCTTCTCTATGGCCATTCAACTCACAGATCCCAGCGAACAGCCTGTGATTTCAAAATTCCGCCCCATGGTCCCGAGTGAATCGTGTTTCGCGGAACTCCGAACCTGGCCGAAGAACTGGTCACTCAGGACAGTCTGCGGTTGTCTGCCTGCCTTTTTGAATCAGGCAATGTCGTATGCCTCCGTTGTCCCATTGGTGAAGTAGTCGCACCAGCACTGAGTATATGTTAGCGTTTCCTCCATCCGTCAGTCGGGAATATGTGGCCTTCCTAAAACAAAATCAATGCGTGCCACTCTCTCCCATCGGGGCCTCCTAACAGCTTGCTGCGCCTGCAGCGACTGGCTGCGTGCGTTTCTTCCTATCCTTCCGTCGGGCGCAGCGTGTCACATTCTCGACACCATCTCCGGACGTCTCCGCGCATTCCGGGCCAACAGTTAAAACCGCTGTCGAATGCGTTCCAACGTTTCTTGAGACTCCTTAGATGTCCAGACATCCTCGTGCCCCGTGTTGCCCAGCTTTCAATATTTCATGTTCTCATTTCTCGCGGTGCCCATAGCTGGGCCTACCCGGTCTTCTTCTTGTGGTTACTCGCGGCCCAACATAGTGTAAGCATGGTCCTTACTTCTGATTTTCTAATCTATCCTCAGATATGCCAGAATGGACTTCGTGCGCCTCCCACGCGAGTGCGGTCAGCTTCGCGTACGGCGGGGTCTCTCCGACTGGCGTTTTTCCACTCTATTGACTTTCCGGTATGGGTCGGGTCTTTCATCTTGCCACTCACGATACTTGTTTAATCTCCCACACCAATCCTATCTTCCGGCCGCCGCCGTCTCGGACGCGCAGCATCCCCTCCACTCTCGGATCGCTTCCGTAGCCTCGTCTGGCCAGCGGATGCTCCGGTGGGATAGTCCGCTGCACTTTCTGGGCAGCTGCCTCGTTTACACTTACAGGCACACCGGCGTGTTTCTTGAGAGGCCGTTCCGCGATTGCCATGTAGGCGCGCCGCACTCGCGGTGTTCAATGTTTCATATCGAAATCTCCATAAATAATTAATCCACCTTGCCACCATGCCCTCCGGTCTCATCTAAAATTAGCAGCCACGTTAACGCAGGCGATGATCTAGCTCCGTATTACGAAGGTCGCCCTTGCAGTAGTGACGCAATTGGTTTTCACGGCCTGCTTACGTACTGCCAGCAGCTCACGGTGGTGGGTGCAGTATCTCTGTGCGTCCGGTGAGAGAGTTTTGCTTGAGTAGGCCGATCACTCCGTCTTCTCCCCCGGCTGGCATTTGTTATTTCCCCATGCCTGGTGGCCCACTTGGCATCAGTATCTACAGCTGACCCCACCCTCCGCTTGAGGGTACGCTTAGACCCAGGTCCTCTACGTAAGCGCGGCTATTAGTTCCGGAAGGCGTGCTCACATGCGTCTTGGTCCATCTGATAGTCGGTGAATCTCTTCGGCTTGTCAGCTCCGTTCAATAGTCCCGCTTTATGAGCTGTACGAATCCCTCTATGAATCTCGGTAGTAGTTAAGCGTCAAGCCCAGGAAAGCTACGAACGTCCGTGACGCTCGTCGGGCCTCGCCCACTTCCGGACGGGCTTCGATCTTGCGTGGATCACAACTCACGCGCTTCGGGTTGATACGGGATATGCCCTAGAAACGCGGCACTCTTTTTGAAAAGGTGGCACTTACTCGCGTTCAATTTGCAGACGGCTTCCCGGAGTCGGTTCCGAACACATGTCGGAGGTTACTTCAGCGCTCTCGTGTCGCGGAAGGTGACCAAAAACAATTACGTTCGCTCGCGCGTTACCCAAAGCACTCTGTTCATGCAGTCCCCCGGAGACTAGGCTCCATCAATCTCTCGAGGATGCTCGGCGTTCAGTACAGCCCGCGTTTCACTGAGAAAGCGGTCTTGGCGGCGCTCGTCCCTATCCATCTCCACTTGCCAGTTAACCACTAGCCAAGTCCAGCGTGGAGAACCAGTGGCCCCCGCCAGCAGAGGTCAAGGCTGTTTTCATCGATACGAGGAACGTTTGTCATTACGCATCCCTTCTCCTGGAGTCACATCGTTTAAGTTTGCGATAGTCTTATGCAAAATCGCCCACTCCGCCATCTCTTCTTCGTTGACCACGCCACTCAGCGGTGATAGCCCATGGGACTCGAGCTTGGCCTGGACCACTTCTGCCTGTCCAACATCGCGGCTCCAGCTCCGCTTCAGGGCTTCCTGTCTAGCCATACGCGGCACTCTCGCGAGAGCCTGTTTCCTGGCGGTAGTTATCCCCGGTGTCGATTCTTGCTGACGCAACCATCGTCCGTCCTTTCCCCCAACTTCCGTAAGTGTGGGAAGCTGTGTGCGAACATACCTCCCGTTTACTCCCGTAATCGTCTGATGCCTGGCTCTTCTCTTGCTTCCGTAGCTGCTGGTGTCAATTCTCAGTCAATTAACCCCCTGCAGTGCAACTTGCGCGGTAGCTCCGCGGATTTCGGAACTCTCCGTCGGACGGTTCCGCCTGAGCGTACCCACACAACGTTGCCCAACCGCGTGCGGACCGCGCTCCAATCGCTGCTAGTTTCGTTTACCGGCGAGGGATTGATCACTTTCTCTGGCCCTATCATTGACCACGGATTAGTCGGCACCCGAGCCCCGTTCCGATATCCGATCAGGACAACGAGCCATCACCGTTCCTCCCTATCGCCCCTTTCTCTCTGTAAACCTCTTGGTGGGCTCGGCGATAAGCTAAGCGTCGCAGCTCTTCCATCGCGGCTCCACTCGTACACTTCGTGGCACGATCACTTCATGTCCCTGCCGGCGGGATTCGCGATTGTGTGTTCGGCCGCCCCCGCCCATACAACCGCGGCTCCGCATAGTGTCTACCTTTCCGTGTAAGTCCTCGCATGAATAGTCACCACGCTTTGACTCAGGCTTTAACTGGTATCACGCCCCACCGTTAAAAGCTTACAGTTTCTCTCCTCTCCCAAGTTGACGTCCACTGGAGCACACCTCCCCTTCGTTCCTCCATTTCCTGCAGCGCATATCGAGAGATCTATGGCCACCTCTGAAGGGTCCTGTCCTCCCAAGGCGATGCGCTAGTTTGATCCACGTGCCCCCTCCCCATGTTATTCCCGCCTCGTCTCTCTCTCCTACGCTGTCGGCAATTACCCGGCGTGCTTGTACGTCCATCACACACCGTTTTGGTAGGCCTTAGGCGTTACCTCCTCTTCGAGATTTCTTACAAAAGCTGGCGGCATCTCCATCACCGTCGTCTTCCGCTCCAGTGTCCACTAGAATCTACTAGCTGTCCTTGCCACGTATAGCTTTTAGCTTCCCATTGATGTCGATTCCGCACCCTCCGCATGCATTGCTCTCTGCTGTTGTCCTTTGTTTTCGTTCGCCGTTTTCTTTTCTTCGAAGGTTGATGACGGCCGTCGGGCACGGCCACTCCCACTCCCTGCACTAGTTTCGGCGCTGCTGCACTGCCGTCGCTTTCCTCTTCTCGACCTTCTACTCGCCGAAGTCGGAGTTGTGTTCTTTTCCCACCTGTGGCCGTACTGCCATCTGCCAGACCCCGGCTACCTCTCTTCCGGCGTTGATACTCTGTTCCGCCGCCATAGATCCGTGTCCTATTCGGTGCGTTCCGCTGGATCCGTTGCCAACAGTTCTCGCGAAGTGACCCTCTTCTCCGCATCGGGATAGCCACGCCGCTCGGCCGTATTTCTGGTCTCCCGGTTCCTCTCGCGACTCTCGTTCCCCCGCCTCCACGACGGCTCGTTCTGAGTCTTTCTTCTTCTTCTGGACTGACTAAGAAACTTCCTTCATTCAGTCTTCGTTAACTCACCGGATATCCGCGCCTCTCGTACGTCCCGCGGGTTTGCGTTCAGCCCTCCGCTACGGTCTCACGCCGCTTGATTCCCGCGGTCGACCTCGTGGGCCACCCTTCAACCTTTAAACTGGCGCACTAACGCGTTTCCGGGGCGTCACCCTACAAACTCCTGATTTCTTACGTCGAACATCTGTGCCGCACATCGCAGCCAGCGTCTCCTGCCGTCTACACCCTTGCCCCAGAATATTAGATTTCGCGTCTGCGCATCGGACGGCATTTTCTTGCCTTTCAGTTCGGCTGGCGTTACCAGCATCTCACTAATTTGGCTACCTGGCTTGCTCGCGTGCATGTGCGTCAAATCTCGCCAACTTCTTCATCTGCCTTTACGTATTCGGCAGCTCCTCCTCCGGGTTTGCTTCTTCTATCCGGCTGGCCAGCTGGCTGCCTTTGGTGTCCGCGATCCGGTGCTGTTCCGTTCCATACCGCACTCTCTAACTTCCCTGCTAAGTTCCTCTGCCCTCACTCTTGGCCGGCCTCGCGGACTCCGACAGATATACCAGCGGCCGGTCTTCCAATTGCTGCGCGCGAGCTGATCTGCCCTTGCATTCCCTATTCCCACTGGTAAGTACCTCCTCCCGGCTGACGTCAAACCGATTTTAAGATAACTCATCAACGGTGCTCTGCCGGCGCTGTTCCTCGGGCTCGCGTAACGTTCCGACCGTATCGCGACATCCCTGGTGGACGTGAAGCCAGCAGCCTCTTCCTTGCTCTTTGCCTCGGTTTATAAGTAAGTGTTGGTCCTCTCCCTACTCCCCCTCTCTTTCGCTTCATTTGTCTGGTTTTGTCGTCTGCCGAGCCTAAGGCGTCCGCTTCATGACCTTCCTATCCTTCCTTTCCTTCGACTTATTGCTCTGCCTCGTGGCTTAGAACGGCTCTCCGTCTGCCTTTCTCCGTGGGATCGTTTCTCGCCATCTCTCACTCCGGGAATTTGAACTCGACGCGGTCACCCTTCCATTCGCGTGCCGTTGCTCTCGACTCTTCTTTCCCTCGGCCGCCGCGACGTCGGGTGACTGCGGCTTCTCGCGAGAGTCCACCTTATCGCTATCCTCTCTCAGCCGATCTACCTGATACTCTGTTTCTTGTTGACTTCCGGTCTCATTATTTTTTTTTCTCTTCGCAGCCGATCTTCACATTCTAATCTGCTTGCCGGCTCGCGGTGATTCGTTGCGTATTCCACTCCGTCATGAGCTTCAGTCTTCTCCATCTTTCCGCTAGCGTGTCTCCCGCGCGCACCTCGCTCTCTCGGGACTGGCTCCACACCTTCCCCGCAACGGCCCCTCCGCTCAGAGTAGCTCCGTCACGGCTTGTGCATTTCTGCCGGCCTGGTCTCTTCGCTTAACGGCTGCCAATAGCATGCTCGCGGCTCTCTCCGCGTTCTCCTCGGGCCCCTCCGCCCACGGTCGCATCCGGTCCTGACTTTAAAATTTTCCTTGATTTTCCACCCGCTCCAGTGCGCCTTCATTCTCTTCCCTCTGACTCACGCTTCGTGGGGGGTCCCTTCGCTCTGGCTGCCGCCTTGCAAACTGGACTGCCGATCTGTCCATCCGTTGGACTTCTCTCCCCCGACCTTCTTGCCGTCATCCTCCTGGTCTGCCTTCGTGTATGCTCATTTCATGTTTCGGACACGCGTACAGGCGCACAAACGCATGCTGGTGTGCCTCTTCTTTCCATCTTCCGATCGCTCTGTTGGTCACGGCTCCAACCCCATGTTGACGTTTTCCCTTACGTCCTAATGACGTGGGCGCCTCTGGCTAGCTGTTGCGCGGCTTTCGTATGGCCCGTTGATCGCCTTGCCTGTCGCCTTAGGCCGCGCTCTTTTCCCGGTAAGGTACGCCAAACCATTACTCTGATTTCTGGCGCGGATCGCCGAGTTTCCTTATCGTCGCCGCGGAAAACACATTCGCAGTTATGGAAGAGCAGTACACGTTGGCTTACTTGATTAAACTCAATGTTCTATTTCTCATTCCAGCGTCTACACTTCTCCGCATCGGAGATGACGGTGACACTACGCGTGTTCGCACAGAGTTCTCGAGTAGCCTGATAGCTAGACTTCCCCGAGCTAGCGGTACTCGACTCCACTCTCCTCTATCTATTCCCGTTCTATCTCTTCGTAGGCCGCACGCCCAGCCTTTTTTATCTCTTCGCTCGTTCCCGCGCGCCGACCGCAACACACCGCGCGACGTACACTTCCTCGCCCGCCGGTCGTCGCAGGATAACACCCGTCAGTCCTGATGGGATAACTAGGCGTATCGCCACGAATACATACATAATAAAAAAAAAAACATAATACATACATACATAACATACAATACATACATTACATACATTAACATACATAGATACATACATTACATACATACATACTACATACATACATAACATACATACATACTACATCAACATACATACATTACATCACATACATACATTACATAGCATACATACATAAACATTACATAATCACATACATACATAACATACATACATACAGTACATACATACATACATTACATACATACATATCATCGCATACATACATACATAGCATACATTACATACATACAATAGCATACATACATACATACGATACATACATCATACATTACATAATTACAACATACATACATACATACACTCATACATACATACTACATACATACATACATATCATAGCATACATTACATTACATGACATACTACATACATACATACCATACATACATACATACATACACACACACACACACACACACACACACACATACATACATACATACATAGATGAAAATAAATAAATAGAATAAGATTTGTTGTTGTTGTTGTTGTTGTTGATAAAATATATAACAATAGACGACAACTTGTCGTCACGAAAACCTTACTGCTGGTAATCACGTGGCTCCAGGCGCCACCAAGAATAAACAGAATGTTGTCCGTGTTGGTGTCATGCTCGCGAATGCACTTTCTTTCTGATATTTTGCCAATTGCTGGGGAAAGGAGGGGAGGGTGGGTATGACGTGAGCTTTTTCGTAGTGGGAGACGGGAGCGGAGCTAAAAGAATGAGTGAGTGGGAGAACGGGTGGGGTGAATGAGGCAGAGTGAGGCAGGCAGAGTTTAGGCAGACGCCCTAGCCCACGTCATCATCGCCCGTGCTTATTATTAGCACAGATTATTATATCACCAATTAGGAACACAGCAAAACAGTCTATCCGTTCTTGCACCTAACTGTATCGTCATGTCGTGTGTGCACGTATCATCTACTTGCATGTCTCTACGGCCAACAACGGTGTGCATGTAAACTGTAAGGTGTTGTTATTAACAACCACTACATGTCCGTGCTGTTCAATACGCTATCACACATACAGCTGCAGAATTTCGTGTGCGCATGTTAAACATGGTGGCGCTGTCCATTAGGAAACAAAAACACGCCACGCGCGTCCACACACACGCTCAGGCGCGACAACACGCCCACACACACACCACCACACGACACCACACACACAACACACACACAACACACACACAGGCTCGCCGACCAGGCACGCGCCACCAGCAGCCCACCACAGGGCCTACTTCCATCTGTCTATCCTATGTCAGACATCGATACACACCCACACACACTCATTCACGCACCGCAGTCACCCGACACCTCCCATTCTTAGTTCATTCTACACTACGCCGCCGCGCCGCATCACCCTCACGTTCCACGACTAATACTATCACGCGTTATGCTTCCCGCTGCACTCGACACCGCACACGACGCCAACTCCTACGTATTACCACGCCACTCTTTACTTCGCCGCACATCCACTACCACACACACACCGACGTCTCACAGCACACCTGTACACACACGGCTCGGCACGTCACGCGACCGACATCCACCGCGCGCTGCGCAATCACCACCTGCACAACACCACACACACAACACACACGCGCAATACACACTGCACAGCACACACACACACACACTACACACACACACACACACACAACACAGCACAACACACACACTCACACACACACTCACACATCACGCGCTTACACACGCACACACAGCACACACCACGCGACACACACACATCACACACACCACACACGCACACACACGCACACACACCACGTCACATAATCTACTATCACACACGCTATACACACATCAAACCACAACACACACACAAACACACAACACACACACAACACACACACACACACAACACACACACACACCGGGTCACGCACGGGCGCGCGCGCCCGCACACACACACACACATACACACACGACCACACGCGACACGCACACGCACACGCACACGACACGCCACACGCACAGCCACACGCACACGCACGCGCACTGCACACACCAACGCATCAACACACGACACATCCCACAGCACACGCAACACGCACACCACACAGTCACCACACTACACACACACATAACACAATGTCATGTGCCGTGTCCATCAGTGACGATTGGTCACACACAACCACCGTTTTACCGTACACGTGGCAGCTAATACCGCAGGAGCTCTGGCGTGACGACGCGCGGCTATTTCGGTACGATCGTTTGATGTCGTTACGATTCCACGGTCGCCGTGTGGGGGCCCTCGTCGGGTGCTGGACATAAAATTAGATACACTGAGATGCTTTCTGTCCGTGCGTTATCGCGTGCATGCGCGTCGCCATGCATGCGCGGGACGTCATGTGCGGGACACGTCAATGTCACATTTGGTTAGCAGCAGGGCGGTGACGATTTGCCATTGCCAGTCCCATCTCACCCATCCATCTATCCAATCTATCCACCTCCTCCATCATCCCATTCCAGCCATTCCATCCACTCATCCGATCCAATCCATCCATCCATGCCATCCACTCCATCCACCATCCATCCATCCATCCATCCATCCAGTCCATCCATCCATCCATCCATCCATCCCATTCCATCCATCCATCCATCCAATCCATCCAGTCCATCCATCCATCCATCCATCCATCCATCCATCCATCCATCCAGTCTACCCACGCCATATATCTGATGCGCATCCATCCATCCATGCCAGCCATGCCATCCATCCAATCCATCCATCCATCCTTCATCCGTATCCATCCCATCCATCCCATCATCGCATCCATCCATCCATGGCCATCCATCCCATCCATCGCATCATCCATCCATCCATCCCATCCATCCTATCCATCCCCATCCATCCCATCCATCCGATCCAGTCCGATCCATCCATCCATCTCAATTCCATCATTCCATCTTCATCCATCCATCCATCCAGTCATCCATCTCATCGCCGATCCATCCATTCCCATCATCATCATCGACTCCATCCATCCATCCATCATTCCATCCATCCATCCATCCATACATCAGCACCCATCCATCCAATCATCCATTGCCATATGATCATCCATCCAATCCATCCATCCATCCATCCATCCATCCATCCATCCATCATCATCGCATCTTCCATCCATCCCATCCATCCCATCCATCTAACCAACCATCCATCCATCCATTCCCATCATCCATCCACTCCATCCATCCATCCATCGATCCATCCATCCATCATCCATTTATTCCACTCCAGTCCATCCACTCCATCCTATCCATCCACCATCCATCAGATCCACCGATCCATCCATCCATCCATCCATCCATTCCATCCATCCATCCATCCATCCATTCCATTCATCATCGTGTATACAACATCCCACCCCATCCATTCACTCCCATCCATCATTCATTCCCATCCATCCATCCGACTCGCATCCATCCAATTCATCCATCGAGTGCGGGTCCATCCATCGCATCCATCGCAATTCATTCCATCTTATTACATACATCCAGTCCACCCATCCATTCATCCATCCATTCCATCGCATCCATCCATCCATCCATCCGATCCGTATCCATCCATCCATCCATCCATCCATCCATCCATCCATCCAGTCCACTCATTCCATCCATCCATCCATCCATCCATTCCATCCATCATTCCATTCAGTCCATCCATCCATTCCATCATCATCCATCCATCCATCCACCTATCCATCGATCCGGTCCTTCATCCACTCCATCTATCCCTCCATCCATCGCATCCATCCACACATCCATCGCTCCATCCATCCATCCATCCATCCATCCATCCATCCATCCATCCATCCATCCATCCATCCATCCATCCATCTATCCATCTATCCATCCATCCATCCATCTATCCATCTATCCATCCATCCATCTATCCATCCATTCATCCATCCATCCATTCATCCATCCATCCATCCATCTATCCATCCATACATCCATTCGTTCATCCGTTCGTCCGTCCGTCCGCTCGTCCGTCCGTCCGTCCTTCCGTCCGTCCGTTCGTCCGTCCATCCATTTATCCATCCATCCATCTATCTATTTATGCGGCGAGGGAGGCTGAATGACGTGGTAACGCTCTCTCCCGCTGCCAAGGCAACGACGCTAGGATCTACCGAGCAGAGGACTCAAATAGGAAACAGTGATGAGTGTATTGGTGCATACCATGTGCAACGGTGAGTCGTTAGCCTGCTTAGAGACAGTCAAAAAAGTGAAGACGAGCGAAAAAACTCGAGGAGAAAAGTGCAGGCAGCGTGATAGATATAGATACGATGAAGAGCTAATAATACCTAGCTAATGCTAATGTAATAATAATGCTAATGCATTATTAGCTGTTGGTATGATATATAGCCGGGTATTAATGCTAATAATTCGACGTAGATGCGTTTCTATCAAAGCTAACTGCCACAGAGCAGATATTAGAATAACTTAAAATGTAGTTTCATGCACTTTAGAACGTTAGCGTTAGCGTTATCACGATTGTCAGGATGGCCGAGTGGTCTAAGGCGCCAGACTCAAGCGAGAGCTTTCCCGAATGCCGGGGATATGGGTGTTCTGGTCCTCGTATGAGGGCGTGGGTTCGAATCCCACTTCTGACATAATCTTTTTTGTTTCGTAATGTTTCAGATAAATTATAGCGATTAGATAATGACGAGGACAGTTAAACGAGAAGCCGCGACGATTTTTTTTAATCGTATTTTTTTGCGCTGTCCGCAGCCACTAACGGCTCCTCGAACTGCAGCTCGCTCGCCACTGACGTCATCACCCCGAGTCTCTCCCCCGCCGCCATCGCCATCGTCGCCGTCGTCATCGCCACGCTGTCGGCGGCGACGGTCGTCGGCAACCTGACGGTGATCGTCGCCTTCGCGACCGACCGGAAACTGCTGAACGTTCAGAACGTCTACATCTTGAACCTCGCCGTCTGCGATCTTCTCATCGGAGCCGTCGTGACGCCGTTCTCCGCAGCCGACGTTCTCTGCGACTTCCACTGGCCGCTGTCGAACACCGTGTGCAAGCTGTGGCTGCTGCTCGACTACGTGCTGACAACCGAATCCGTCTACACGCTGGCGCTGATCAGCTGGGACCGCTACCGCCTCGTCACGCTCGGAGCCGCCTACGTCACGCGGCAGACGGTCGCCGGAGCGCTGCGTCGGCTCGCCGTCACGTGGGCGATCACGTGCGCGCTGTGGGCGCCGGCGGTGCTCGCGTGGGAGGCCGCCAGGGGGCGCTCCGTCATCGAGGCCGACGAGTGCGAGGGGGAGTTTATCGACGACGTCGCGTTCACAACCGTCACCAACTTCATGGAGTGCTACGCGCCCGGAGCTCTCATCGTCTATTACAACGTGCGCCTCTACACGAACATCGCCGGCCGCCAGAGGGCGAAGCAGCAGCGCCAGCAGAAACTGCAACAGCAGCTCGCCGCGGCGACGGCGGTGCCGCCTGGTGGCGCTCCGGTGCGTAGACTCGAAGCGTCACCTGTCGGGCGATTCGGTAAATTGCCGCGACGGTCGGCCGAGAATCGTCTGCAGACGATAACGTCATCGTCGCCGACGAAATCTTCGAGATTTAGGCTGCTGTTTGCGCGAAATATCAAAGGTCGAAACAAGGTGAGAGTAGATGCTGGCCAGTGTGCAGTGACGTCACCGATGACAGCTGACCTGGACGCAGTGACGTCACCTATAACACCCGACCAGGACGCAGAGGCGTCATCTATGACACCTGATCTAGACGCAGTGATGTCATCTAAGACAGCTGACCACGACGCAGTGACGTCACCTATGACACCCGACCAGGACGCAGAGGCGTCATCTATGACACCTGATCTAGACGCAGTGATGTCATCTAAGACAGCTGACCACGACGCAGTGACGTCACCTATGACACCCGACCAGGACGCAGAGGCGTCATCTATGACACCTGACCAGGACGCAGTGACGTCATTTACAACAGCTGATCAGCGCGCAGTGACGTCATCTATGACAGCTGACCAGGACGCAGTGACGTCATTTACAACAGCTGATCAGGACGCAGTGACGTTAGCTATGACAGCTGACCAGGACGCAGTGACGTCAACTATGACAAGTGACGAACATGCAGTGACGTCAACTACGACATCTCACCACCCCACAGTGAGGTCATCTCTTGCAGCTGACCAGCACGCCGTGACGTCATCTAAGACAGCTGACCAGCAGGCAGTGACGTCACTGATGACGTGCGCAGCGACGACGCCCTGCGTGCCGGCCGTCGACCCCCAGCTGCGCAAGGACGAGTGCGCCGCCAGGGGGCTCTTCATACTGATCGCCATCTTCGTCGTCATGTGGACGCCGTATACGACCTACCTGACGGTGGTGTCGCTTTGTCCGAGCTGCGCCAGCGTCAAGCTGTACATGTTCACCTACTGGCTTCTTTACTACAACAGTCTTATCAACCCGTTGGCGTACGCCGCAGCCAGTCCCAGGTTTCGCGCAAATTTCAGGAGAATCTGGTGCCGTTTCCGCCCACGTGCAAAGACGTGAACGATGTAACGGCTTACGAATATATGTATGTAGATTGGGCGTAAGAGAGAGCAAGAAAGAAAGCGAAAACAGATAGATTGATAAATAGGTAGAGAGAGAAAGTGAGTGTGTGTGAGAGAGCGAGAGAGAGACACACACACAAAAACACACAAAAGCTCCGCTCATCCTCTCGCTAGATGGCGACAGCTCTTTAATTAGAATTGCGAGGTTTCCCCTCCGTGGGAGCAGCGAGAGATACTGTAGCAAAGCGCTAGCGCTAGGCTAGGCAGTAATAGCAGCAGCAGCAGCAGGAGAAGCAGCAGCAGTAGCAGCAGCAGTAGTAGCAGCAGCAGCAGTAGTAACAGCAGTAGTAGTAGCAGCAGCAGCAGGAGGAACAGCAGCGGTAGCAACAGCAGTAGTAGCAGCAGCAGAAACAGCAGCAGCGGTAGCAGCAGCGGTAGTAGCAGCAGCAGAAGCAGCAGTAGCAGAAGCAGTAGCAGCAGAAGCGATCGCAGAAGCCGCAGCTACATGCTCTCCCCGTCTCCATAGTCACGGAATATAAGAGTTCTCCTCAGATATTGGGTAAGTTAGCAAACGAAGAGAGCCGGAAAGTAAGAGAGTGACAGAAATGTAGATAAATAGATCGTTTGTGATAGACGCAGTGATTTTCACGCAGTGATAGCGAGAGAAAAGAAGAAAGAGCGAGAGTAAGAGAGAGAGAGAGAAAGAGAGAGAGAGAGAGAGAGAGAAAGAGAGAGAGGGAGGGAGAGAGAAAGAGAGAGAGAGAAGGGGAGAGGGTGGTAGGTAGAGAGTGAGAATGAGAAAGAAAGAGGTGAGCATAGAGAGAGAGAGAGAGAGAGAGAGAGAGAGAGAGAGAGAGAGAGAGAGAAAGATGGTCAGGTAGAGACTGAGAGAGGGGGGTAGGTAGAGAATGAGAATGAGAGAGAAAGAGGAGGGTATAGATAGATAGATAGATAGATAGATAGATAGATAGATAGATAGATAGAT